GAAAAAAAAAAAAAAAAACAATTTTGAAGCTCAGAATTCGGTTCCCCGTTCCGAGTATGAACAGTAAACAAGTCTACTCCTGTAAATAAACTTGCACAAGTGTCATTTTTGTAATTTTTCTTTTAAAAAATATTATTTACGTAAAAATTTCGTTCTATCTCTTAGCGGAACTAGTAAAACCGACTATTGGCCCCAATCAATCATTTTAGAGGAAAATATTATTTTAATTATATATATATATATAACTTAGAATTAAAATATTATTAATTTAAATTATAATTATAATTCTATATAATATTAATTATATATGAATACTATTTTAATATTTAATTCTATAAAATTTTGATAATATATTACAAATAATAATTTTATATATTTATTTAAATTTAAATATATTTATATTTAATTTAATATATTGTACATAATAACTATAATTCTAAAAAATAAAAATACTTACACGTAGATAAAAGAGTATGAAAAGGATAAAATGGTAAATGGATAAATGATTTAATTTAATAAAATATAACTCAAAAATTTAAATTTTCTTTTATTTCTTACTTAATTTTATCCTATCAAATAATTATATATTTTATTTTATTTTATTTTTTACATATTTTCTACCAAATCATTATCACATATTTCTTTCTTTGCCCTTCGAATCTTTTTCCTCCCACAAACAAAGCATTGCATTGTGTTTGATTGAATAGAAACGGTAACAAAATAAGAGAGAGCAAAGAAACTCGTGCAAAGAAATAAACTTGCCAGTTTATTTTATAAAAAATGTATTACAAGAGAAATTTGTAGACGTGAATATGGGAAGGGATTCTAATAAAGTTTTATTTTTTACACTTTTAACTTAAATAATTATATAATGAAATTATTGTTTATTAAAATAATATCACCTCTTGAAAGTGATTGTATTCAAATAAATTGTTATTTATTCAAATAAATAACAAATTTATTGGAAGGATAATATTATAATTTTATTATTAATTATAATTTTTTTATTCATTCAAATCAAATAAATTTATAATATTATTTTTTAATAATTATTTATTTTTCTTAAATCAAATAACTTTATTTTTATTTTATTTTTTTATTTATCTCAGTTTTAAAAAAAAATTTATTTCTCACTTTTTTTCCCCAACCAAATACAGTATTCGAGTTTCTGACGACAGTGTGATATGATTAACGTCTTATCAAGTATCACGTATTATTCTGTAGTCTGTAGGACACTGAGGGATCAAGCAACTACCTTGCCAACCTTCCCATATTGACTAGGGATCCAATAATTGAATTATCTCTCATCATTTATATAGTTTAGTAGCAACATATCATTAATTTATTCAGAAAATAATATAAAATCCGGGCACTTTGATTAATTTATCGAGCACGTTTTGTTCCTTGTAAGTTTAGGCAATTTCGTATGTCAGAACATATTATTAGCATGTGTATATTGTTGACATTGTCACATTGAGAACAAGCTTGCAAGTGAAACAATACACTGCAATGGGGTTTTGTACATGTCACAAAGGTGTGGCTATGCCATTAATCTTGTTCCTGCTGCTCATGTGCTCTCTCACACCAATCTCAGATGGATTAGATCAATCTGTATCTTTCCCCAGCAACTTTCTCTTTGGCACTGCTTCTTCTGCGTACCAGGTTTGCTATCATCTTCATGTTTATCTCTATTTCTTGTGTGTTCACCAATCACTTTTCCCATTATTCTTCCTAGTATGAAGGAGCTTACTTGAGTGATGGCAAAGGGATGAGCAACTGGGATGTCTTCGCTCACAAACCAGGTGATCAAATCAAGACCTCACAAACAACTTTTTTGTATTCTTTCCTTTTAGTTTTACATATTGTTCAAGCTTCAACTTTCGCAAGTCCATATATTGCAGTAGGGATGACAATGGGACTCCATGAGATGAGTAATAGTAAACCCGTCTCCATTGTATGAAAATTGGCTCCATACTTACCCCATATCCACGCGGGTATTTGTTAAGCGGATATCCATGAATTTCTTGAATACTCACGAATATTCATGGATATCTATGGATATTTATAAATTTTTTAAGAAATTAAAAAATTATATTACAAATAATTTTAAATTTATATTTAATGTCATCGAAATATTAAAAATAAAAATTTAATGTTAATTTTAAATTTGTATTTAACGTTAATTCTATTGAAATAATAATAAAAATGCAAGATAATCAATAACTTAAAATACATCAATTTTACACAAGTAAGTGAAAGTCTCATATCACAAAGCTACAATAATTCAATCTCATAATTCCAAACATAAGTAAATAATTTAAAATACATAAATCTTATTGGTCCAATCAAAGCTAAAAAATTAATCAAATTACATCCAACATAATTCTATTGAAAGAAAATAAGATGAGAATGTAGTTTTAGGGTTATGTGGTACAAGGATAATTAGGATATTTAATAAATATTATTAAACGGTACCTGCGGGTATGGATATCATCATACCCGCCCCTGCTTCATTTATAAACGGGTAAAAAATTATACGTCCCCATTATCTGCGAGTATCCAATTAACCTATCCATTTATTATCCGTAATGAATTTTACTCATAGATACTTGCGGGTACGGGTATTTTTGTCGTCCGTACGTTGCAGGTAGTATAGAGGATGGAAGTAATGGCGATGTTGCAGTTGATCAATACCATCGCTATCTGGTAAAAAAACTAAAGCTCACTTCTAATATAGATCATATTTGTACGTCGTGTTTATTTCTGCATAGAAACTTTTATGTACTGGCATATTTGTGCACGAAAATTTTCAGAAAATGCCGTTTAGTGTTGGAGCAAATTTTAATAGATGTTCCTAATTTCAAATTGTCATAAAAACAGGAGGACATTGATCTAATGGAAGCTATAAAAGTCAACAGCTACCGGTTTTCTATATCATGGGCAAGAGTTCTACCAAGTATGCTTTCTGGCTTCTTGTTTTTAACAAAAATTGTGAATGATATCAGCTTAGAAGAGATACTAAGTACTTGCATTTGGTAGTCAATTCACAAGCAGAATTTGCAATGATTTTGAACAGAAGGTAGATTTGGAGAAGTCAACTTGGCGGGTATCGACTACTATAACAGACTCATAGATGCTTTGCTACTCAGAGGTTTGATTTAAATTTTCCTATGCTATGGCTTGCGAGACAAACAATTTTAATTTCATTGACCTGTGTTTGTTGCCAACTATGCTATTCGCAGGTATCCAACCGTTTGTAACATTATTTCACTTTGACATCCCTCAAGAGCTTGAGGACAGATACGGAGCTTGGTTAAGTCCACAATCACAGTAAACAATTACAACTACTTCCCCAATTCATTTTGCTTGCTTAGATTTCGATACAATTGCCGTAGTTCCGAATGCACTTGATAGCCAACATCTTTTCTAGCAGATTTTGGCTTTGACTTGAACAAACATATTTTGATATTTGCAGGGAAGATTTTAAATTCTTTGCGGATATCTGTTTTAAATACTTGGGTGACAGAGTCAAGTATTGGGTCACCTTCAATGAGCCAAATTATATAGTCCCACTTTCTTACCGTGTAGGCAGATTCCCACCATGTCGCTGCTCTAGCAAATTTGGAAATTGCAGTGAGGGGGATTCAGAGAAAGAACCCTTTGAGGTAGCCCATAATATGATCCTATCACATGCAGCTGCAGTTGATATTTATAGAAGCAAATACCAGGTAATCTGATTAGAGGATGACACTAACCCTTATCAAAATAAAAAATTAAAAAAAAAATAGCATTCCATGTATAATGTAGGGACTCAAATCTGTTGAATTTCCACTTAAGCTATAAATTACCATGCTGGTTTTACAAATCAAAGTCAAAAGTGGTACGGGACAGTCGTTCAAAACATTATAAAGTTGCTTTTTCCTTAATGCCATATCCAGACTGAGCAAGGGGGAAAAATTGGCATTGTCTTACACTGTGACTCATATGAGCCGTTAAGCAATTCCACAGCAGATAAATTGGCTACCGAAAGAGCACAATCGTTCAACATTAATTGGTAAAATTTCCTCCTTGTTTACTACAGATATTAGAGATTGATTCAGTAGGTTATATGAAACTAGGTGCAGGTGGATTTTATATGGCATCTCCGTCCTTCATTTTACTAGAAGTTCTAATTTTCTCTCAATTCCTCTCTTCTCTTGGTCTCTATCATGTTTCTCAACATCAGAGCCTTGACAGGAACATCCCTTGTTGCTGCACTGAGAGAATTCTTTTTTCTCACTTTCTATCTCATATTCTTCTAATTTTTTTTTAATTTTATTCTTTACTTTCTAGCACATTTTCCCTCACTGTCTCAGATGATATAGATTCTCGCTCTCATTTTTTTCTCATATCCATTACCCTTCAAACTCAAAATAAGATCTTTTATCATTGATAAAACGAGGAACAAAATACAATTGAGAATCCATCTAGTTTTATATACAAGTCCAAGTGTCCAACTAACGTCTTACCTAACTAACCATAACAAACTAAATCAATCTCCGATATGTGTAATATTGTTCACAGCTAATTCATCTCCAACACAAATCTTCTGTGAATTTGATTCTATCAATAAATACTCCACTATAATAATGCAGGATCTTGGATCCAATCTTATTCGGTAAGTACCCAGAAGAGATGGAGATGATTCTAGGAACCATATTACCTAAATTTTCCAGTAATGACAAAGAAAAATTGAAGAGAGGACTGGATTTCATTGGCATAAACCACTATGCAAGTTACTATGTCCGAGACTGCATATCATCAGTGTGTGAATCTGGGCCAGGAGTCTCCAGAACAGAGGGTTTATATCTACAAACTTCACTAAAAAACGGTGTCCCAATTGGAGAGCTTGTAAGTACATCAACCTTTTTTTAATGATTATGACCCTCACATTTTCACCTTGCAGAAACAAGGTTCAATGATAATTTGTATTGTTATGTAGACTCCATTTAATTGGCTCAATATTTACCCACAAGGCATGAAGAAAATTCTTATCTATCTAAAAGACAGATATAATAACACTCCGATGTTCATTACCGAAAATGGTAAGCAAAGCAGGTTAACACCTTACACCTTTCATGGAGTCTCTGAGCGTTTCTGACTACCCAACCTTTTGTAGGATATGGCAATTTGAATGATCCAGATCTTACCCAGGAAGAATATCTTACTGATTTCAAGAGAATAGAGTACATGTCTGGTCACTTCGATAATCTAATGGCAGCAATGAGGTATACACACTATATATAACAACATATATATTCACCCTTCACGGTTTTGCTTTCATGTTCATCTTCTTGTTTGAACGATGTGGGACTTTGCTTGCATTTCAACAATCTTCCCCTCAAACAAAAGACCACGGTTTAACCCATTCCCTGCAGCGAAAAGGGCCCAAACCCTCTATATAAACTCATGTCCATCTTCTTGTATGACCGATGTCCATCTTCTTGTTTGAAGAATGTGGGACTTTGCTTGCATCCCAACAATCCTCCCCTCAAACAAAAGACCACGGTTTAACCCATTCCCTGCAGCGAAAAGGGCCCAAACCCTCTATATAAACTCATGTCCATCTTCTTGTATGACCGATGTCCATCTTCTTGTTTGAAGAATGTGGGACTTTGCTTGCATCCCAACAATCCTCCCCTCAAACACCAACATCCTCCCCTCAAACAAAGGACCACGGTTTAACCCCTTTGCTTGCATCCCAACAATCCTTCCCTCAAACAAAGACCACGGTTTAACCCCTTTGCTTGCATCCCAACAATCTTCCCCTCAAACAAAGGACCACGGTTTAACTCTTTTGCTTGCATCCCAACAATGTCCATCTTCTTGTTTGACCCATGTCCATCTTCTTGTTTGAAGAATGAGACTTTGCTTGCATCCCAACAATCCTTCCCACAAACAAAGACCACGGTTTAACCTCTTTGCTTGCATCCCAACAATCTTCCCCTCAAACAAAGGACCACGGTTTAACTCTTTTGTTTGCATCCCAACAATGTCCATCTTCTTGTTTGAAGAATGAGACTTTGTTTGCATCTCAACAATCCTTCCCTCGAACAAAGACCACGGTTTATCCGGCATGAAGAAATTTGCATCCCAACAACCTCAAACAAAGGACCACGGTTTAACTCTTTTGTTTGCATCCCAACAATGTCCATCTTCTTGTTTGAAGAATGAGACTTTGTTTGCATCTCAACAATCCTTCCCTCGAACAAAGACCACGGTTTAACCCCTTTGCTTGCATCCCAACAATCCTCCTCTCAAACAAAGGATCACGGTTTAACCCATTCCCTGGGGCGGAAAGGGCCCAAACCCTCTATATAAACTCATGTTCATCTTTTTGTTTGAACGATGTGGGACTTTGCTTGCATCTCAACAATCCTCCTCTCAAAATGCCTCTTAACCAATGGAGACAAGTGTGTGTATATAAACTCATATTCATTCTCTTGTCTAAACGATGTGAAATTTTGCTTGCATCCCAATATAAATAAATAAATCATGGCATTATTCTTTATCCTTGACCTTGGACCTAAGTATTTGTGTGTTGTTGATGTGATCAGGGAAGGAGCAGATGTGAGAGGTTACTTTGCCTGGTCCTTGCTCGACAACTTTGAGTGGAAATCTGGGATTTCACTGAAATTTGGACTTCACCACGTGGATTTTGCCACACTGAAGAGAACTCCAAAATTATCAGCAAGTTGGTACAAGCATTTGATTGAAAAGTATACAGAAACTGGAGAGCGTTGTGCCCGAGAATAACAGGGAAAACAGAAAGGAAAATACCTAGCTTGGAACCTTAGCAAGAATGAAAAATGAAATGCATCATGGTTACTATTTGGAGCACCTGTTCATATTTATGGAATGTTGTACTTGTAATCATATATTTTCGACCCAACACGTTTGACACTATCATAATTAAAAAATATATATATTTGAACACCTTTCTCACGCAGTTCTGATACGAATATATCCCCTACACGACTTGGACACGAGGATAAAGGCAAAGACAGGGAATCTATACTTTCTCTCGACAATTAAAATTAAAAAAAATAAAGACTTATACAAGCAAAGAGATGGAATTTATGCATTTTTTTAAAAGAGATCTTTTTCACAAAAATTACTAGTTGTTTTAATTTTTAAAAGACATAATTTATCTTATCTTGTATTTTTTTTTTTATATAAAGACAACATTGTATTTTATCTATAAGGATCATTATTATATGAAAATTATAAAGATTTAAAATATATTTTTAAGTTTAAAATAAATAAGCATTTAAAAATTTTGTGCACGCGTTGCACGGGTTTAAAACTATATATAAAGATATGAGAGTGAGAGCATGATTGACGTGGATGTAGACTAAAGAATCTTATAGCAATGGTTTCCACTTGCACAGTATTTGTGTTCATATTTTTGGTTGCACCATATCAGCTCCTTGTTCTCTCAAACCACTTGGATCTTTCTCCGCTTCCCACTGATTTCCTCTTCGGCACTGCTTCTTCGTCTTACCAGGTTCACTTTCAACTTCTTTTTCAACCTTAACTTTTCTTTCTCATTCACTCACTCCCATATCAGTCCAACAGTATGAAGGAGCTTATAAGAGTGATGGCAAAGGCCTAAGCAACTGGGATAACTTCACTCATGGTCACGGACAAGGTCACCTCTTAATAATATTAATTAACTACTATTTTAGCCTTCTTTCTTAACTACCAATTTCATTCATGCCTGTTTGCAGGTCGAATACTCGATGGGACCAATGCGGATATTGCTGATGATCATTATAATCGTTACCTGGTATACCATCAGCCTACCCTTTACTTTTTATTATACTTAAATTACATGACACCATTCTATCTAAATTCATTAATAATTTAGAAATAATCAATATCAGTCTAAACTTAAATAGATACATAATCTTACAAAGTATTAATTTTCTTAAGTAAAATAAATACCTTATCATAGATAATTTCGTTAAATAAACAATATTATAATTCTAATTAAACAATATTATAATTCTAATATTATAATTCTAATTAACATGATTGTCCTACGTGGACCTAACGCGATAACCTTCTGCATTTGAATTCGGCGAATAAGGCAAAAGCAATTATAATTTTCATGGATCAAAACGCAGGAGGATATAGATCTAATGAAAGCTTTGGGAGTAAACAGCTACAGGCTATCCATTTCATGGGCAAGAATTCTACCAAGTATGCTCCTCCTTCGAATGCATTACTAAAAGTGAAAAAAAATATTGCAACTCAGATTGTAACAGATTCTTGGTATGTATATATGATTTTCAACAGGGGGTAGATTTGGAGAGGTCAACCATGCAGGTATCGACTTCTATAACAGACTAATTGATGCTCTACTACTCAAAGGTAACTCAGATTTTATTTTATTTTTAATTTTCATCCTAGTAATGATAGTTACCCAGAGGATTTTCCTTACACACCTTGCCAGCAAGCAAAATATATAATTTAGTAGTAAGTTTGAGTTTGACAATTGTTTAAATAAACACATGAGATTAGTGAGGAAAAATCCTGTAACAACTCGTCACTCTTTTCTTTGAGTAAAAATATATTCGACATGCATCTTTTCTCAACAGGGATCCAACCCTTTGTGACTCTTAGTCACTATGACATTCCCCAAGAGCTGGAGGACAGATATGGGAGTTGGCTAAGTCCCCAATCACAGTAAGCAACCAGTTTTCTAGTTTACCTGAAGAAGTTTCAATACCAAACAGATCATTGATATGAACTCTTAAATATCGTGCTTTCATGTTTTTGATGAGCAGGGAAGATTTTGCATATTATGCGAACCTATGTTTTAAAACCTTTGGTGACAGAGTTAAGTACTGGGTCACATTCAATGAGCCAAATAACCTAGTGCCACTTGGCTACCGTTCAGGTTTATTTCCTCCATGTCGTTGCTCTGGCCCATTAGGAATGGCAAAATGCGGTGGAGGAGATTCAGAAAAGGAACCCTTTGTAGCAGCTCATAACATTATCCTGTCACATGCAGCTGCAGTTGATATCTATAGAGCCAAATACCAGGTATTGTAATGCAGTTCTCAGCATCATAACATAAGCAATTATGATCACAACAATAACAACAACAAAAAAAAACTTTGGAAACCCAATTATTTGATAAAAACACGAGACGTTATCAATTTCAATTTTTAAATCATTGTAAAATTTGTACTTTATGGATGAAACATTAGACTGAGCAAAAAGGAAGAATCGGTATAGTCCTTCAACATGAATGGTATGAACCGATAAGCAATTCAACAGCTGACATTTTGGCTACCGAAAGAGCAAGATCATTCACCTTCAATTGGTTAGTTCTTCTTCAATAGCCAGTTCTATTTGTTCAATCAACTCTCCCAGTATACTCTTTAACACTTTATTGTAAAGCAGGTTCTTGGATCCAATCATATTGGGAAAGTACCCCACAGAGATGGAGAATGTTCTTGGAAGCCTCTTACCCAAATTTTCCAGCAACGAAAAAGAGAAACTCAAGAAAGGATTGGACTTCATTGGCGTCAATTACTACACAGCTTTCTATGTCCAAGACTGCATGTACTCCGCGTGCAAATCAGGACCCGGGATTTCCAGAACAGAGGGTTCATACCTGAAACTTGGAGAAAAAAATGGTGTCGCAATTGGTGAACGTGTACGTACCCCTCAAACTTTTTACAAAGATTATCACCTTTTTTTCCCATGCTCCGCCAATTCTGAATATTCTATTGTTGTGCAGACTTCATTTAGTTGGTTTAATATTTACCCAGAAGGCATGGAAAAATCTGTCACGTATGTGAGAAATAGATACAACAATACTCCAATGTTCATAACTGAAAATGGTAAGCAAAACCTACTATTTTTTTTCAGACTTTCTGTTCATTGCTGATCATCCAAATATTTTATAGGGTATCCCGAACAAGATGACCCAAAATTCACTTCGGAAGAACATCTTAATGACTTTAAAAGAATAAAGTACATGGAGGATCACATAGAGGCCCTATTAGCAGCAATAAGGTAAGAATATAAAAAAAATTTAAAAATTTAAAAATTTAAAAATTCTAGCAATATAAAACAGGATAGGATATGTATAAAAACCATTCGCAAGGATTCCATTTTCAGTATATTGTTATCTATTATGCTCATCTATCATCTAACTAGAATTCTATTTAACCAAATGCTGGGAACACCCTCATCTCTGATTACTTTTGAGACTAATCAAACATGAGAATAAAATGGATTTCCCCAACCTTCTCTCTCTTTCAGGAAAGGAGCAGATGTGAGGGGATACTTTGCCTGGTCCTTGCTCGACAGCTTTGAGTGGATATATGGATATACTGTAAGATATGGGTTCCATCATGTGGATTATGCCACGTTGAAGAGAACTCCAAGATTATCAGCAAGTTGGTACAAGCAATTCCTTGTAAAGTACAAGGAAACCTTTTCATTGGGCATCAGAGGGAAAGAAAAACTCGTACAACACACTTGAAACAAAAAGCTTATAACCTAAATGTAGAACCTTATCGGCTACAATTCTTAGTTTATGATATATTGTCAGTACTTCTGCCTTTAATCAAATGATGCTTCGTTCCCTCTTTGTACTAAAACCTAGTGATTGATCGCCAACTTACGAATTAATGATGTTATTAAATATCAAGACACACCCATGAAATCGTGATTCATGCAAAAGTAGTCATTGTATAACAGTAAATTTGTGTGGCACCTTGCACCATTCGAGTCACCCAAACAGGAAAGGAATAAAACTTTAGTATAACTGTAGTTGGAAATAAAGCCAATAGTTACATTATAATAGTAGTCATTGTAATTCTATTGGATTTGGAGCAACTGAGAATAGCACGAACTTGTTCAGTGATTGAAAATGTTACATGCTTACTCAGAAGATAAATTTGTGTTAAAGAATGCTGAAATAACTTTTGGATTTTAAAACCAAGAGATACTTAAGAAATGTATAAAACAAGACACTAAAAAGTCAAGGAACCTTTAACATGAACCAGCTGTAGAAGAAGAGGAAAGAGTCAAGGAAGAGATGCAAACATTGACTATTTGTTGACAATTATATTACTACTTCAAGCAAATGGTTTACATTCTGAGATAACACACAATTACCAACGTAACAAGCTTAGTAGAAACCAACATGTTAAAATGCAGGAAATAATGTTGAACAGGAAACCTCTTAAGAATTAAGCTGCTCTAACATGTTAATAACCATTTCTTTTAAAAGTTGTACCTTTCTGTATCAAAGCTCCAACTTCAATACCTAAGCTAGGACCAAATGGTAAGAGAACCAACCCGTGAATAACATCCCTTATGTGCCAAAGTGGGCCGGGACCCGTGGGCCAACCCGACCCACCTTGAAAACGGGTCGGTCTAGGCCAAAAAAATTTGAAGTTTTATAGTAGGTGGGTATATCTTAACCCGGCCCACTTTGGCCCGGGTTTAGCCCAGGTGGGCTGGGTAACCCACCAACCCACCATTATTTTTTTTGCAATAAAAATTTAAGTATGATTTGTAGTTAATTTTATATAATGGGATATTAAAAATTTTTATTTTAAACTTTTATCATGATTTATATTTAATTTTGTATGATGAGTTATGACTTATGACTATTAATGATGTTAATTTTATGACTATTATGTTAATTTATAATTAATTTAAAATTTTAAATTTTGTTGATAATTTTTTTAAAATTTTTGATGGACTGGTGGGCTGGCCCGTATAACCCACCAACCCGAGGTGGGCTAGGCCGAGCCAAATTTTTTTTGAAAAATCAAAAGTGAGCCAGGTTGAGTTGGCTCGTTTTTAAAGTGGGTCAAGGTAAGCCGGTCCACATGGGCCGGACTGGCCCGTTTTGACAGCACTATGTGCCATTGACATTAATCCAATATTTAAAGACACATTCCTACTAGAAAATTCATATTCTTTAATAAATTAGCCATTACAAAAGGCAACAGATTAATTACTTTAATTTTATTAGTATGTATTCAGTGTAGCATTTCATCCGAAGCTAAAATAGGTTAGAGTAATTTATAGGTGAGTAAGAAAACAGCTGTGCCTAGACTCCACAGGAAGCTATGATTCCAACACATTCAGAATGCGGCATCGCGTTGAGGTCTATGGATATGAGTTTGCTACGACATAATAAGCCTCTCTAGTTCAAAAATAAATGGGAAGCGGAAATGAGTGAAAGCCATGACGTTTTGGAACAGCATTTCGTTTATCAATTTCTGCGGCAACACCAACGTACTCTTCATTCTCTTTCATCCTCTCAGACTGTATGTCTTCATTCGTCATTTTAGGCACTTCTAATATTCGTTGATATAAGTCCATTCATAACTGATGTCACCTAAATTAAAATATCTGATCGTTGGCAATATTTGTTTAAGAAAGTGGATAATTTTTTAAAAAAATCATATAAATATAAAATAGATAATCACATCATATAATTAGATTAAAAAAAAAATTGATTCATATTCTTAAGCAAATCAAATTAATTTATCTATTTTATAAAAAAAAATTGATGAGTCAAACAAATTTAATTTAGATCAGGTTGGCTCAATTTGAGTTTTTCAAAATTTTAATTCATTAACAACCCTTTTTATGACATTATTGAGGGAAAAAATGAGTAGAAAACAAATAGCATGAGATTGAAGTTTATGACATTATAATAATTGTTACAGGATTTAATTTAGTAAATCCCTTAACAGACATGTAGGGTTTTATTAGCTCTGTTCCTTAATGGGTCCCATCAAAACCTTATGGAATTAATGACACATGTAGACCTAGTAGCTTGTCAGCCATCTGGATAAACAGCAGGCTGAATATTATAGTAAGAAATTTGAATAAAATTAATCTGTTGAACTTGTAATCATAACTTTTAACTTTTTTTTAAAATGGTTGCTATAAACCGCCCTTGAAAATTAAAATGGGACCATTATAGGGTGAACATTGAACAGCAGCACAAAGTTTACATATTTAATCGTAATTTTATTGTATTCTTACTATATCTGGGATATAACAAATTAATAGTTAGTAAATTAACGGGTTGAAGACCCATCCATATTTCGAAACTGCAAGAACAATTAACTAATAATGTTGTTGTACACCTCTTGTTTGTTTGCATGATCATGTGAAGAGAATGTTACTATGTTAGTTTATACTTACCAATTATAACTTATTAAAGAATAATGTGAGCGGGGATGAGGCAGAAGCATGTATTTTTAGAGTTAAATTTTGATAAACTGTAGTAAAATATATTGGACCTACTAGCAGTAAATGTGGAGTACTGGAGTCGATATAAATTAATATTTAGGGTTGATTACCCCCATACCGAAGAAACATGAAATGACGAAAAACCAATGGTAGAACTACGTACAAAGTCAGTCCAATGGCAAAGCAAATCCATGAAGTTTTCTATTCATTGCAGCTCTGCACTTCCACCCAATACCTCAACTACCACCTGTCATCGCTACGTCTACCACCAGGATAAAATTATGTAATACAAATATTTCCCACTTGTCATTTTAATTTCTGTGGACGAAAGCTCATAATATATATTTATTTTTCATTTTCTATTTAATATATTATGCACAGAGCGTATAATATCAAAAATAACATATTAAGATAGGGAAATCAATGTTTTCTGACAAATTTTTTTTACATATTCTTATATTGTGAAAATATATATATCTTTTTTATATAATTTTTCAGCTATATGCAATATATAAATAAATAAGCATAAATGTTTCATCATTATATAAGAACTTCACATGAAGAGAGGAAAAAACTCAAAGAAAAGAATGCATGAAATAGTGATAAATTTGATTCTTTTTTGGTGCAATTTTTACAACTGGAACGCGTCCGGTTTGTTAGATAAATTTAATACTTTAAATGTGCTCTGTTCTATGTAGAAAAAAAAAAAAAAAAAAAAAAA